AGGAGCGGAAGGATTCTTGAGGTGAGTGTTTGTGATTGTCAGCGAAGAGGAGGGTTGTTAGGCAATGTAGGGATGCGTTTGATGGGAGTCCGAGGTCAAGAGAACTACTTTTTGGAAAGTTATTGGCATGACTTGTACGCGTTTTTGGTGCATAGTTGGGGTAGGCTTCGTGTCGCCGAGATCTTAGCAGTAGGTAGGGAGATCTTAAGCGGCTCAAAATAGATGGCGTAGTCGGGGATGTCTTGGCCTCTGTCATTATTGTGGGAGTGGACAGCCCGAGTGCAGTTCAGGCGAGAAAGCTATTTCATTTGAGCGAGATTGAGAGGGCGGCGGGGATGACAGGCCCCAATCTCGGATCCTAGACACAGTGAATTGAGCAATAACGAGTGTTCTGAAACAGACGCAGGCAGGCATTGGGCTGGTTTCTAGTCGGAGATATTTGTAGCGTTGTGCGTGCTTGGCGGCTGAATGCAGTAGATGAACCCTGCGGGGTGCCCTGTTGAACGAGGACATGGGAGTGTTGGAGCAATGAGTTGGATCAGCTCCTGAGGGCTCTCTTGAGGTCGCTCGCCCGATATTAAGAGAGGGCTCTTTTGCTTGTCACAAGCTACTCACTCCGGAGTAAGACGACGGTTGGTATTCACTTGACCCTCTTAAGACCCTCCTCCGATTCTTGGCTGCAGGGCTGGTCGGATGCAGAGCATGCTCAGGTGTTGGGAGGCAATCTTTACCCATCCTGCCTATCCCTTCATATCCTTCGAAGTTGGAAGGATGGAAGAAGGCAGGGTCCAAGCAATGATTATCAAATAATAGGGGGAGCAGAAAGACTCTTTTCGGCTCACTGGCTGTGGAAATGTTGGTGCTGTTGTTCATGCGTCGGACAAGCGCGCTCTCTTTGATGTTTGTTTGGCGATGAGGTCCAATTACGGGCGAGGTGCCGGGATGCTGCAGACTCCTAGCGGTTTCATCGCCCTTTGGTGATCTCTGAACAGAGGCCCGCTATTCACAGCTGACAGACCTCAACATTACCTAGCACTCAACGACTCTGTCCACTACCACCTCTAAGCAGCCCAAACCCTGCACCGCCAACAGAGCCTTCCTTGGCCGTCATGGATTCTGATCTACGCGCCTCCACGGTCCGATTGGAGTGCCTTGTACCATGATGGTATGCAACACATATAAACAACTGGTCCTGGTACAGGCCGCCGAGGGCAGTGCTTCAACGAGCGTCCTGGACCGTGACTGCCGTCTCTTCTTTAAGAAATGGCCACTTGCGTCACCGTGAGAAATTTGTTGTGCGCTCCTACTCAATTCACCACGCACCTGCCAAACCACTGAAAACACTAGCGAACAAAACCACCGTCGAACGACTCTATATCTATATCTATCCATCTGTTCTTCCATGGCCTTCTCTCTCCTCGACCTTCTTACACCTCTCTCTGCGCATCATTGGTGTAATTGTCTACTGATTTTTGCCGTTCTTTTGTAACGTGCCCGAAAAGGCTCACGTACTATTCGCTCGTTTGAAATTGGTTTCCAAAGAGGCCGGCGTTGATCCATTACAGTAAAGACCTCTGAACTAATAATCCCATATCTACTCTAAGTATCCCCTGCTAACCCCATTTGAAGTCATTCAGAAGGTGGAATCCGAAAGACGTTTGCGCTGTGCCTAATTTTGTCTGGAGGTCCACCAGCAATACAACCAAACACCACACCAATTTTCGCACCTCCACAAGCCCTTCATTTACCCCGTCACCATGCGTGTTGCAATTCTCACAACCTTTTTCGGCTTCTTCTTCGCCCTCGCGAGCTCAGCTCCCGTCGCACCTGCACCAAAACTCCACGTCCTCCATGCACGCCAAAATGCGACCGGAGCAACAAACACGACGGCTCCATGCGCATCCGTATCGTCGGCTTACTTCGGCCAAGTAAATCCATCGCCTACAGTGCCTGCTCAAATGGCCATGGATTGCATCAAAAGTGTTCCCCTGAATGTTACGGCTGCGAAAATCCTCATCAAAGACATTCGGCCGTTCATTCAATGGCAAAGCACCCTGGCTTACTTGAAGAATCCCCCGGTTGAATATGTGACCAAGATTCAGGCCGCAGTGGATATCATGGCTGGTTTGGACTATATCGATGCCCAGCTTACCGCAGGAGCATACAGTGGTGAATATGACTTCGGCTCTTCACTCTATCAACTCATCCATTCCGCTCACGACGGCCATTTCTCCTATATTCCTGACTCCGTTGGCAACATCTTTACCTTTGGCCGGACGGTTCCTCTGGTATCGGTCTCTGAAGACGGACAAATGTTACCAGCAATATTCGCCTACGTTGATGTCCTCGGCACCCAATTCCATAACATCTCATACACGCCTTCTGCTGTTGTGAAGATCGACGGACAAGACGCCAATACCTTTCTCCAGAATTGGAGCCAATGGGGCTCACTGCAGGATAGAGATGCACTTTACAACAATGTCTTCTACGAGCTCGCACAGATTTCACTTGGAGCGTCAGGCTCTGCCACTGGAACTTTCTCTGGTGGTGGTCGAGGGCGCTATGTCTACCCCGGAGCCCACACCACGTTGACTTTTGCGAACGGTACCTCGAGGACTTTCCAGAATTACGCGAGAGTCTTGGTCAACATGAGGGGTATTCAGACTGGAGAAGACCTTCAAAGGAATTACTTTTATTATGATGCGGCGGCCAGCGCAGAAAGCATTTCAAACGTGAATGGAGAGACACCGGTCAGGGTCTCCGCAACTAGCCCAAGCACACCTCCTGGCTATCCCGAGGCCGTGGTCCCCGGCCCTCTCAATCTCATCAACGGCTACTATATCGACTCACCAGACTACAACGACATTGCTGTCCTGTCTGTGCCCAGTTTTGTCAGCAATTCATATGCTGAAAGCGATTTCCAACTCACGACGACGAGGTTTATTCCCAAAGCTCTTGCAGATGGCAAGACAAAATTGATTATTGATCTGTCCGCAAATGGCGGCGGTACCATCTTGCAAGGCTACGACATGTTCAAGCAACTCTTCCCTTCTATTCTTCCCTATGGCGCCACTCGCTTCCGGGCCCACGAAGCGGTCGATCTAATCGGCCAAAGCTACAGCGCCTTGGGATCAAAGTACCCCCGCTCTTTGAACGATACCAACAGCACCATCGTCGGAGTTCAGAGCACCTACTTTGACTATGAAACCGACGCCGACGTCAACTACCATCCCTTTACCTCGTGGCCTGACAAATACGGCCCAGTAACTTTCAACGGTGACAATTTCACCCAAATCGCACGCTGGAACCTCACCGACACCTTCATCACTCTTGCCTCGGGTGGCATCGAAATCACAGGGTACGGTACGCGGTCAAACTTCACCACACAGCCGTTCAAAGCTGAAAACATTGTCATCGTCTACGACGGCTACTGCGCCTCCACTTGCACCATCTTCTCGGAGCTCATGCGCCAACAAGCCGGCGTCAAGACCATCGCCATGGGCGGCCGCTCCAATAAAAATCCCATCCAGGCCGTCGGAGGCGTCAAGGGAACCAACAATTATCAGTGGGGCTACATTCAGGGGTTAGCGCAGCAAGCAGTCGAGATCGCGGCTCCGGACCAGCAGGAACGGTACAATAAAAGCGTGTTGGCAAACTACTACACCGATGCCCCGTTCAGCCGCGCATCGGGCTCTCCGGGCTGTAATGTCCGTGACGGTCTCAGGCAAGACGATGATAGTGGTATTCCGCTGCAGTTCCGCTATGAAGCCGCAGATTGCAGGTTGTTCTACACTCCTGAAATGACGGTCGATGCTACAGCGATATGGAAGGCGGCTGCTGATGCGCAGTGGAATGGCGGCAAGTGTGTGGAGTCAGGTAGCTACGGCAAGAGAGATGAGGTGACGACAAGGCTGTCGAGGAGGACTGGTGCGGTGGATTGGGCGCAGAAGAAGCGATTGGAGGAGAGTTTGGCGCTTGAAACGAATCCGAATATCAGTGGTGATGGGCTCATGTTGCCGTAATGGGCTGTGGAGATCGATGGAGTGTTTGCTACGACCTCGATTGAGGTTGAGGATGTTGTGCTGAAGGATTCCGGCTCGCGCATCTTATTGGACGTGGGATGAAGGACACAGATCTCCTTTGCATCGCTTAATGAATACCCAATTCTCTCTGAGCCAAGTGCTAAACACAATGTGCCTGTAATAGTCGTGCCTGTTCACAAGTTCCATGCCGTCAATTGCTTGAACTACGAAACTTTGTATTCCAATCTCCCGACCTCGGAAGCAATTTCCTTGTCAACTCGCGACGCCCAACCGCAGCAGAGACGTCTTGCCACTCCTTTTGGAACTTTTGTAAACGACCACATTTGGAAGGCAGTAATCAATTTGATAAGGGGGGGGGGGGTGATCCTACATCCTCACTGCGAAAGGGTCATCATCCTTACGTCTGTTTCTCCGCCGAATCGATTATCGCAAAAGCCACCGATATCGATCGCAGCTCTGGTTTCGGAACCTGTTCCCTGCGAATACACCCTTTCAAAGTACGTTGAGGTGTAAGAACAGTCATTGGATGCCGATGGATACCAGCATCCCGACTATCCATAACTTGTCTCCGTCAAGGTCCCGGTCGAGGAACCGGGAAAAGCTAGTCATGAAAGAGCTGTTGGCGAAGGCGACCATGCGTGGAATCAAGAAAGAATAAAAAGTAAGAAGAGGTTGATACGCGTTGTCGAGCGGAAGTTCAGGCCTCATCTAGATAGCATGGATATATTCTATTTCAAGCGTCTCTGCCAAGAAAAGTTCCATATTTAACCTTTACCGCATACCTTTTGGGGGCATCATTGTGTCGGGCGGAGCGACAGGACCAGCAGTAGAAAGGCCGCCCCCCTACTGTTGCATCTCATGCTTCAAGTGTGCCTTTAGCTTTCTTATTAAACTCGAAATTTTGGTGTGCAAAATTGCATTATATAGATTAATTTAAAAAAGGTTTCTAACAATCATGGGGCGGTAGCTCAGTGGCTTAGAGCGTGGGATTGCAGTACTCAAATGCGGTTATCCTAAGGTCTCGCGTTCGATCCGCGATCGCCCTTCTTTTTTTTTATATATATTTTTGCGTTAAATTTGTTAGACTTTTGTAGTACCTGAAACATTTTTTTTTTTTTTCAAGTCGTAATAAGTATTCTTATTGAAGCTGCCAGTGTATACACATAACCGACATTGGCATGTATACATCAATATAATCAGGCTTAGCGCTTACTACACTAAATAACTAGCCGCGCACCAGAAATATTAATTTTCTATATGTGATACTCTGCCTGTGTCCATGCTCCCGGTCAGCTCATCTCGGCCTGTTCTTGTCTGGTGGGGTTTGTTATTACGGCACAGCTGGGGCCAAAGGGCACAGCAGCAACATAAATCGGGATCTTAGACTCCCCGACGTGTTAGTGTCGTTTTGGAATGAGTCAAGATCTCGTGATATGCAGTTGGGACTGTCATAAGCCAACTTTCCGGATAGTTGAAGGATCAACGAGCGCCATGTTTCTTAGGAGTACGGGTTTATGTAAAAACGCGAATACACTTGCTCTTGGATAAAAACCGTCGCAGTTAGCTTATAGTAACGGTTATAGACTATACCTCTGTCTTTTGTCGGTAACATTAATTAGTTTTTGTTTATGGGCCCGATACTGCCACGACCAGTCAGTCAGCATACAAATAGACATTCGGAACACTGTGTGGTATTTTGGTTTGAAATACCAGCCTCGGTTAAGTAACCGGAGAACTGCTCATTACAATATACTAATTGATTGCAAGTACTTATAAAGAAAGAGAGTGCTTCCACTTCTATTGTATAGCCAGCTGTATTTGTTTCCCAAGTTTTTTTTTTTTTTTAAAAAAAAAATAAAAATAAAAATAAAAATAAAAAATAAAATAAAATAATTACTGTACACTAATTTTCCATGCAAGTTTGGCCTTTTAGCCCGCTCGCAGCCTTTATGCAAGCTTTCTAATAGGTGCATTCTGCTATATAGCTACTACGATAGTACGGTCGTTAATCATTTCTATTTAAATACGCCCAAGGTTCTTTAAAGCCAAAATTCGCCATGCGTTATTTGCTAGATCCAAGCTTTGAATCACCCAAAGCCATTGCCAGCTTCTCCACCAGACACCACACCCCTCTCCCACCCGCGGCCACTCCCTCCGAATCACCGAAGTCGCAAACGTTTCCTAACTATGACTTCGAAGTCGCCTGAGATGCTCAGCGGCATAAGGGACAGTTCTGGACAGGCGGTGAAACGGTTCGTGAACGCCTTGAGCTTGGTATCCGTGGCTCTTCCGACGGCTTGGGTCCTGTTCGTTGTCGGGATAGGCTTGCATATACTGAGTCGGGAACGCGGTTCGAGAGATTTCGGGAAGTCGAGAGCTTGGGGGGGAACCAAGGGTGCTGGCGGACTCGTAAATAAGCACATTTGGAGGAGTACCAGAATGCAACGACGCCGCAGGTACCGGGTAAAGCCTGTTATTTTCATCAAACGCAGCAGTTACTATGGGCATATATTGGCATAGCCGGGGATAATTATATAAAGCTTATATGAGACTACAGAAGAGAATGTACTCGCGCAGTTGATCCAACGGTATTGAGAGCACACCCAACACACCCGTGATGGCGATGTGACTTTTCATGTGTGTACTCCGCACCTAAAAGGAAGGCATTTTGGTTTTCAAAATATATTGAATGGGCTGATGAAAGTGTTATTCACATGTAAGTGAAATGCGGATCATCACGAGACTAGAGAGCCAATTAGGCACCAAAAGCATCGAAGGCCAATGGGAAGGGCAACGGAGCATAACAAGTATAGATCTGCACCGGGCATAAACACCAATAGTACATCCGCAATTGAATTGAACTGCTCGTTGATTCTTCAGTGGCTACTATGGCTGGTTAGGGAGACTATTCAATAAGGAGGTCTACCTGTCACTGTAGCGTCGCTTAATCAACTAGACCATGAATTATTTGTCATGTTGTTAGAGCATCCCTAATACAGCAAACACCTTTGTTCGGCGATGTTGAACTTTCAAGGTCTCGAATTGTGCTCAGAGAGAGTGAATGGCTAGCATCGTTGACGTATAAGCTAACCCAGCGGCGTATTGCATTTTGAATGTGGATACTACAATGTAGTCATACCAATCAACTCTATTGTATTCTCCCCGTTCATTTTCTCGTGAAACTTGCCATTTAATTTCAGGGCGTCTTGGATTCTTGAAAAACCGGTAGTGCGTTGATGCTCTTGGTCAGTGGGAAAAGCTGCAGGTAGAATCCCACAGCGCCGCTGACAAGAAGTAAGTAGTATGCGACGGTCCAGCCAATGCCCAAGTTGCTCTTTCCACTCTTTGCGTCCTTGTTCGAGTTCTCTCCATCTTCTTTCCTTCCTGAATTCGATGGCCCAATTGGCACGCTAGCTTCCACGCCAACTCCTCCCCAGAAACGTGGCAGCCCCTGCCAATTGCAGAAGCTGTGGGCGAGTATAATCGACAAAACATTTCCTGTCCGAAGGAAGACGAAGGCGGCGAAGAAGCCAAACAATGAAGTGTAGGTAAATTGGAACAGGGTGCGCATTACTGCCGGCACTATCGGGGTATGTGGGTGCGTGAGTCTGAACTCATAGAAGTGGTGGACGTGGGCAATTCCAAAGTAAAGCGGAGTGACGAAAATGATCTTGCTGGGCGAAAATCTGGCCATGATGTGGAGTGGGATGATCAAAGATCGCCAGATGAGTTCTTCGCTGACCGGGCCCTGTCGAAGGTAAGTCGAGTCGCTCAAGAGCATTCTGTGGACGTACGGCGACAAAGTTCCTGTAGCCAATCCAGCTACTCAAGACCTCGCGGACATGTGTTCCTCGCACCCAATCCTTCCATCTGCCTTCCACTATGCCCGCTTCGAACAAAGGACCGGCGAATAGGATTGATACCAACAGCAATGTCCTCGCAGTATCAAGAATCGAGATGGGCCACCAACCCAGGAGCTTTAACGTCTCCAAGAAAGACGCTCCACCCAATTCCATGATGACATACACAGTAACGGCTACACTTAGAAAACATGATATTGTGACTGCACGTATGCGGGCGCGAATCGACGACGGAGCATCTCGGGACAGCTGCGGTGACGGCCTCGTTTGGGCAGAGAGATAGAATGGGACAACATAGATGAGGGTAAGGAGTATCTGCGACAGCCGTAGTCAGTATTTAGCCGATTTTGCGCGGTTTATGCCATGCAATAGGTAGATCCTATTAATGGAGAGCCACGTTGGGTTGTTGTATGAAACACAACAGAGCGGGACGCACCGACAGAACAACCACAGATCTGGGAGAGATGGTTGGTGCCTTCTGGGCTGTGAACATGTTTAGGTGAGCTAGAGGACACGCAACGGCAATTATGAGACATTGAAAGGAAGATTGAACGCGAGGGGTCGAGTATGCATCTTGGTTGTTTCGGAGGAGGGTGGCTGCCAGCCAGTAGATCACGACGTACCAGGCTCCTTTGTGTAATAGCTCTTCAAGCGGTGGAGCAGACCGATAGGCGCCATTATCACGGTGAGTAACTGCAGAGGGCGAGTGTACAGGTAGATATCGGATTTCTCGCACGATATAAGAGAGGGGCAACCAGACACGCTGGACGCAATTTGGTTTGTGGAATTGGAACTCGATCAACACAACGACCGTGAGCCTTGCCTGCCTAAAAGTCCACGCCGAAACCTCCTAAAAGTTCCCTTCGAGCCCCTGACCATCGTTCCAAGCCTTCAGCGTGGGCGGCCGCAGGGACCAGAGAGCAACCCCCTCGCCGCAACGGTGCGCTAGATGGCCGTTCGTGAATACAACTGGCCAGGAACACGCTACTAAAATTATTCTCAATTTCCCAAGTCGCGACTGGCCACCGACACGCGTTTTCCCTCCACCATTTTTTGTTATCGATATTCGATAAGGGGCCCTCCAAGACAAGGCTGGTGACGGAATCGCGAGTGCGCAATCGGCCGGTCCGACGGTGCTGAATTAGATATCCCGAGGGGTTCCCTTGGTGGTGAAAAAGAATTCCTCCCCAGATCCCTCGTTGTAATCCTTTTGGCTTTGCGCTTCGACATTTACAACTCTCCTCCAGGTCTGTGCTGTGACTACTGCGGGTACCTGAGCTGGCATTGGGGGCACCTGCATTCGCGACGTGCAGCAGTCCTGCATTGTGCGTTGGCTCAGCTTTTCTCGCCTGTCCTCCTGAGTTTTAACAGTCGCCCACCTTTCCTCACCTCTTTTCCAACCCTTAACACCATCTTTAATGCCTTTGTAGGCCAATCCGTCACTCTTTTGACATCTTATCTAGCGTTTCTCGTCACTCTTTACGACTGCTGTTTCTCGTATTTTTTCAAATCTTTCTTTTGGCATCTATTTCATAATTTAATGTCTCCCGAGACTCACTCGAAATTGGCTCAAATATTTCATCTGTACAATTATTGTAAATCTCGATATGTCCTCCAATATTACCCAAAATCCTCAGGCACGGAGCCAAACCCCTCAGACACGGTCACCCAAACGCTCCCCGCAATCTTCCTCGAACTCCTCTCCCAGAAGACGGCCACTTCACGAACGGTCCAACTCTCAGACCAATCAGTACGCCAGCCCGACAATTCGCATAGTTGAAGACCCAGGCGCACATATTTATTCAAAAACTCCATTCCCAAGCCATCCTTCCCAAATCCTTCCTCCTCGTCATGCGCCCGGGTATGTGTTCGACGACCGGGGCCTTCGCGTTTCAGATCACAATACTGTCACCAATGCGGTGCCGAAACCTGAACCCATTGACACCCTAGTGCCGAAACCCCTCCAACCTCGGAAAGCAAATCGAACTTCGGCATCGACCAGTACTTCAGATACGGAGACCTTCGTCAACGCCTCTCCTTTTTCGCCCTCGTCCAGTCGATTCTCCCAAGGCACGACACCCCCGTCTTCGCCAGCTTTACACAACAATGAGAGGGTAGGAGGCTTGGGAATACTTCAAGAGGGCCTTCCCCCGGAGAAACGTCTAACCATTCGGGCTGTCATTCCT